TCCAGTCTATCACACACATCATGTTTATTATTGAGTTGGCTTGGCCCATATGTCACACAAATTCATACAAACATCAGAGTCTTCTAACCTGATGTTTATTCTATCTAAATCAAAGCTTGAAACAAGTAAAATGTAACTTTAGAGAAAGGATCCTAATCCATTTTGCCCAAGAACCTGTTGATCATATGGCAAAGTCACAGTCAGAACGTTTATAATTATATAGCACATAAACACCATCAAGTGCCAGTGGTCATCAGTTGTAACGGAGGAAGCATTGTCAACTTCTCTGCATTTTCCGGGGACTTCATTTCTTCTCTAACATAAAACATGCTGTAGGGACTTCCCTGGTGGCGCAGTGGTTAAGAATCCGCCTGCCAAAGCAGGGGACATGAGTTCAAGCCCTGGTCTGGGAAGATCCCACATGCTGCAGAGCAACTAAGCCCGTGTGCCACAACTATGGAGCCTGCACTCTAGAGCCGGCGAGCCACAACTACTGAAGCCTGCACGCTCTAGGGCTCGTACTCTGCAACAAGAGAAGTCACCGCAACGAAGAGTAGCCCCTGCTCACCGCAACTAGAGAAAGCCCGCGCGCAGCAACGAAGAACCAATGCAGCCAAAAAAAACGACAAAAACATGCTGTAGAGGAGAGGACTTGGGATATTGCAGAGACAGCATCATATATAGAGAAAAAGAGTGACAGAAGTAGTATCAGGGAAGAGAGATAACACATTATGGCTTGGCCCAATAGTAACAATAATAATAATTTAAATACATAAAAATATTTATATAATTTATTAATAAATAGCTATTTTATCAGTGGATGATAACATTTACTATATTATATAATATATAATTTAATTATATATTATATTGTTTTAAGAATATATTACCAACCTATACTATATTAATTATGGTAATTTTATTATTTAACAGAATATTATTAACATAAATCAATATATTAATATTACTAATAAATACACATTATCATTAAAATTATCATTATCATTTACTAGGTATATAATGGATTATACACTTATTAATGTGTTAATAAATAATACTGGTTATTATTATTGTTTTATTGGCAAAGCTATGTTTTGGGCGTGGCGCTGAATATACCGTATTTCCTCCCTTATTTAAGAAAAGGCCGCTCTTGCGCCTGAGCTTCTCAGGGAGCGCGCATGTGCGCCTGGGGCCGGAGGAAGTGCTCAGCTGCAGGAGGCATCTCAGTCCTGCGGAGACACCGCCCACCCTCAGAGAGCGCTGTGACTCAAGTCGCTGCCCCCGGAGGGACGGGGACCCTGGGTCGCGCCCGGAGCCTTCTGGGACTTGTAGTTCACGGCCTCGTGGCGCGCAGGCGCATTGCCGGGTCCGTCCTGGGCGCGCGTCCCGGGGCGGCGGCAGTGGCGTGAGTTAACTGGGGCGCCAACGGGGGGCGCGGGCGGATGGGGTGCTGACGGATCCCCGGGACGCGCTGCACCGAGGGCCTCCGCCGCGGCGGGACCCGGGCAGGACCTGGCGGCGCCGGAGCGCTCCCCCACACCTGGGGCCGCAGCACCCAGGCAGCGGTTGTCCGGGCCGCGCAGCCGCGCTGGGATGCAGACCCCGAGCCTGGCCCCCGCTCCTGTGCGGGTAGTTAGGCGGGCGGGAGTTTGGACGGGGTCTGGGGCGGGGTCCCGGGTGGGAGGGGTGGCCTGGGGTGTTCCCAGGGTTTGCTCCACGCGTCACTCTGCAGGCGGCAAAAGAGAGGCAGAGAGGTCGAGCAGCTTGCCCGAGGCCGCCCAGCACCCAGAATGGCAAAGTCCGAGCCCTGCCCTGTGGAAGTGCCCCTGGATGACAGGTCCGTGGGGCAAACTCTGTCGTGAAGTAAATGGAGTTTCCAGAGACCGGACGTTACATGGAAACGAGGTAAACCGAACGCCCGGAATCCAGGGTGTAGACTCATTGGGCACTTGGGCTAACCCAGGGGTTCTCACCTGGGGTGGTTCTGCCCCGCGGCGGACACGGGGCGGTGTCTGGGAACATCTGTGGTTATCATGACGGGGGGGGTCTCCTGACATTGAGTGGATGGGGGCCAGAGATGCTGCTCAACACCCTACAGCGCCCAGGATGGACCCTCAGAGAACGATCCAGACCCAGGTCGCCCGTGCCAAGGGGCCTTACACCTTAGCATTGTGATTCTAGTGATAAGGTATCAAGAGTCCACTCCATTGATTCCTGACACACCTGCTCAGGAATGAGCTGACCATTCTGCCAATGTCCCAGCAACAAGCTCACCGACTTCTTCCCTTCCCTGGGGTTGATTGCACTTTTCCCTGCCAGGAAGTCCTTATCAGCCCTTTCTTGTGGAGAAAGGATGAGTTTCAGTGGTTTGAAAAGGGAAGGACCCTGAACCAGGTGCCACAGGCCTGGGTGAATGAGGGTCCAACGGGATCACTGACATCAACCACGAGGGAGGGAGGGTCCTGCGAACCACCCAAGGGTGGGAGAGGATTGGTCTGGAAGACCTAGGAAAGGACGGGGGTCCTGGACCCATTGCCATCAGCTGCAATTTAAAGTCCCAAGAGCAGAGAGATCAGGGTGTCACAGGGCTCTGCTCCCTCTGAAGGCTCCAGGGGAGGGTCCTTCCTGCCTCTTCCAGCCTCTGGTGGTGGCCGTCATGCATCACTCCAATCTCTGCCTCTGTAGTCACATGGCCTTCTCCCTGTGTGTCTGTCTCTCTTTTAAGGACACCAGTCATATCGCATTAGGACACTCTCTGCCCCAGTATGACCTCATCTTAACTAATTACATCTGCAAAGAGCCTGTTTGCAAATAAGTTCCCATTCACAGCTACTGGGGGTCAGGACTGGAGCGTATCTTTTAGGGGGACGTGATTCAGCGCATGACAGTCTTAGCAGCAGATGTTCCCCCTGGGTAAACTATTCTGTGTCCTCGAGGTGCATCTGGTGCAGTTTGGGGGGCATGGCTCGGCACAGCATTGTGCGCCCACAGTTCCCACCACCCACGTGGAATGAGTCAGAGCCAGCTCTCGGGAAGAGAATTTACATCAAATCCCCTCTGGTCCCTCGGAAGCTGAGCGAAAGCTGCCGTCATTTTTAGATTTTTTAACTTTTCTATTTTATCTCGATTTTATTTCGAGAAGCTGACTGCACATCACGTTTTCCTTGATACTTTTCATAATTCCAGGTCCTTGCTGGAGGTAACCGTGATATCGTTTGGTGTCTATCCTTGCTGGCTTTTTGCTGTATATTTACACGTGTGTGTGTGTGTGTGTGTGTGTGTGTGTGTGTGTGTAGTTAGATTATGTCTAACTCTGGAGCATTCCATCACCCCCAAAAGAAACCCTGTCCCCATCAACAGTCATTCCCCTCCCCCTCCCCAGGCCCTGACAACCAGGAACCCACTCTCTGTGTCTGTGGACTGGCCTGTTCTGGACGTTTCCCATCAATGGAATCACACACTGTGTGTCCTTCTGTGTCTGGCTTCTCTCACAGAGCGGCGTGTTCTCAGGGTCCATCCACATTGTAGCGAGTGTCAGGGCTTCTCTCCTCCTTATGGCCGAATAATCTTGCATTGTGTGGATGTGCCTTATGGTGATTATCCATTCCTCACTTGATGGACATTTGGGTTGTTTCCACCTTTCACCTGTTGTGGGTTATGCTGCTGTGAACATGGGTGTACAGGTTTTTCTGTGGGTATGTTTTTTTTTTTTTTCTTTTCTTTTGAGTAGATACCTAGGAGTGGAACTGGGTCTTATGGCAACTCTAACCATTTGAGGAACTGCCAGACTGTTTTTCACAGTGGCTGCACCATTTTACATTCTCACTAGCAATGGGTGAGGGTGCACCATCCTTGGCAACACTCATTATTGTCTGTCTTTTGGGGCTTTTTGTTTTTGTTGTTTTAGACAAAGGGGTAATGTGCTATTAAAATTTTATTATAGTGCAGTTTTATTTCTTTGTGCATGAGCTCTTTACATTTTCTTATTACACCTCTCTTTTTATTTATTTATTTTTATTGGAGTCTAGCTGCTTTACTTGTCTGTCTTTTGCGGTACGCAGGCCTCTCACTGTTGTGGCCTCTTCCGTTGCGGAGCACAGGCTCCAGATGTGTAGGCTCAGCGGCCATGGCTCACGGGCCCAGCCGCTCCGCGGCATGTGGGATCTTCCCAGACCGGGGCACGAACCCGTGTCCCCTAGCATCGGCAGGCGGACTCTCAACCACTGCGCCACCAGGGAAGCCCTTGACTGTCTTTTTGATCCTAACCATCCTGGTGGGGAGATGAGATGCTATCTCAATGTGGGTTTGATTTGCATTTCCCTGATGACTGGTGACCATGAGCATCTTTTCATGTCCTTATTAGCCATTGTATGTTGTCTTTAGAGAAGTGTCAATTCTTTTTTTTTTTTTTTGGCCTCACCCTATGGCTTGTGGGATCCTAGTTCCCTGACCAGGGATCAAAGTCAGGCCCTCGCAGTGAGATCACGCACGGAGTCCTAACCACTGGACCACCAGGGAATTACCTTCTTTTTTTTTTTTTTGGAAGTGTCTGTTGCCAGGGTGGTATGGAGAGTTCCCATGTACCTTAACACAGCTTCCCCTGGGGCAGTGTTCTTAGCCTTTTTAAAAAATTATCACCCCCTTTTTAGGCATTTTTTCCCCTAATCAACCTTTCCCATGAAATTCTTTTTTGGTGGGGGGAGACTACTATTTTTTAAAACTTTAAATTTTTAACAAATTACAGACTCATAAGAAGTTGCAAAGACAGGGCAGAGTCCCATGTAGCCACCGCCCAGCCTCCCCCTCGGTGGCAGCTCATATAACTATAGAAACAGAGGGCAGGGGTTCTCGCCAAAGTCACTTAGCAGGGTTTTTGCCAAAGCTGTGCAATGCAGAGACAAACTTGGGAGCCCAAAGGTCGAAGCCTAGTTGGGACGAGGGATCAGAGGGGCCTAACGTTTGGTCAAGGACAGAGTCCTGTCACTGTGGAGAATTCCAGAATGAGCACAGCCCAGATCCACCTGGAGCTCACCCGCTGGAAGGCAGGGGGTCCCCTGGGTATGTGGGGAGCTCAGAATTCCCCGTGGGCATTCAGGGCCACGTGCTCCTGTTTCTCATAAGGCGGGGCAGGCCCATCTAGATCCTTCCTGCTACAGCATGGAGCAGTTTGGGCAGTTTGGCCTAAGAAAGGAGGGTGGAGAGGGATTCGGCTGTGGGGAGGGAGAGATGAATCTGATTGATGCAGAGCCTGGGGATGGGGGGTCTGAACTGAGCCTTCCAACACGTGGGCCTGGGAGGTCCTACTGGGTTGAACTGTGTCCCGTGCACCCAAATTCACGTCCACCCAGAACCTCAGAATGTGACCTTTTTTGGAAACAGTCTTTGTAGATGTCATTAGTTAAGATGAGGTCATCCTGGAGTGGGGAGGGGGTGGGGTCCCTAAGCCAGTGGCTGGTGTCCTTATAAGAAGAGGAGAGAGATGCACAGAGACAGAGAGAAGGGTAGGCAGAGACTGGAGTGATGGGGCCACAAGTCAAGGATGCCTGGAGCCCCCAGAAGCTGGAAGAGGCAGGAAGGACCCTGCCCTGGAGCCTTCAGAGGGGGCACGGCTCTGCTACACCTGAATCTCAGGCTTCCGGCCTCCAGAACTGAGAGAAAATAAATTTCTGATGTTTGTTTTTTTTTTTGCGGTACGCGGGACTCTCACTGTTGTGGCGCACAGGCTCCGGACGCGCAGGCTCAGCGGCCATGGCTCATGGTTCCAGCCGCTCCGCGGCATGTGGGATCTTCTCAGACCGGGGCACGAACCCGTGTCCCCCGCATCGGCAGGCGGACTCTCAACGACTGCGCCACCAGGGAAGCCCAATTTCTGATGTTTTAAGCCCTCTAGTGTGTGGTCATTTGTTACAGCTGCCCTGGGATGCTAATACAGAGCGCTTCACAAGTAGAACTTGTGTGCTTCCAAGACCTTCTGTATCTTCATCCAGAAAATGGAGCCATTAAGGCCCCTGGCCTGTCTTGGCTTCCATGACCATCCTCTGTGGCGGGGGTCATCTCAAGTGGTGGAGGGGATTCTGGGGTCTGGGGACAGGCTGGGTCTGGTCTTCACTCTGCCTTTACTCTCCCGCAGCTCTTCCTGCCCGGGAAGCTGCTTTTGCCCAGGAGGGTGGAGTGGATGGCTGTTGGGTGCCTGCTCCCCTGGCCCCAGTGGGGTTTCCTCTTCCCCCAAAAGGCACCCAGTATCCAGTGGGAACACACCTGTCAGAAGCGGAGTGCCCTTGCTTTGTGGGAAAGGTGGGAGAATTCACCATGAGTGTCTAGGTCCAGGCACTCAGGCTCCTCCTAAGTGTAGGGAGAGGTGCACTGTATCCCCAGAGTAGGGCTGTGCTTCCTTCCCAGGGCCTGGAACATCTCTGTACCACCTGAAGACCCTGCAGTTTCCCCCATAGGGCAGGGAGGGCCCCCCCGCCCCGCAAGGTGCCATCCTCTTTAAAACATTGTGGTGAAATACACATAACATTAAATTTATCATCTTAACCATTTTTCCTCTTTCAAAAAAATTTTTATTGTGGTTAAATACGTATAAAGTTTACCATTTTAACCGTTTTTAAGGGCACAGCTCAGTGGCTTTAAGTACATTCACACTGTCATGCAGCCATCCCCACCATCCATCTCCAGAACTTTCTCATCTTCCCAAACTGAAACTCTGTTCCCATGAAACACTGACTCCCCAGCCCCTCCCCCAGCCCCTGGCCCCCACCATCTACTTCCTGTCTCTGGATGTGACTCCTCTAGGGACCTCCTGTGAGTAGAATCAGACAGTATTTGTCCTTCTGTGTCTGGCTTATTTCACTGAGCATAATTATTCTCCACATCAGAAAAACAGGGCTGATCCACAGTTCGGTTTCAGGTCCCCTAGGGAAACAAGCCCTTTCTCGTGGACATTTGTAAGTCTCCCAGATGGTCCCCGCAGCATCCATGAGATTCTCATAGTTAGAAACCTTGGTCAGGTGTCCTGGATTTGCTCTGGTCCTTGAGTCGAAGTCCTGGTTTTTGCGCCTGGACCTGCTCTCAGGTCAGCCTGGCTGAAACAGCCCACACGGACACGGTCAGGTTTCAGCCCGGAGCTTTGCAAAAAGCAAAGAAGTTGTGTCTCACTAAGACTTTTTTTCCCACCTTTCCCTGATTGGAATGATCTCTCTGTTACGAAATTATAATAATATATTTATATCATTTATTATAATAATCAGAATAATGGATTATAATAATACTATAATGCTTATAATTATTATAATATAAATATATTATTGTATTTAATAAATGCAAACCAATAATATTTCACACTATTTTTTTATTATGCATCCTATGTTAAGAGCCATACAATACAGAGCCATTGACATTTTTTTCCTTGCAAATTCACTCAACCCTTTCAGTGATTCCGCAATTGCAGGGTTAACATTAAAGCTGTCAGCTGGAATGCAGGGGGTTCTGGGGGAGGTTGTAGCAGCTGCAGCCACTGGGGGAAAAAGGCTCTTTTTTTCTGCTAGGAGGAATAGGCAACAGGGACACTGAATATGTTTTGTCCACTTCCACGCCACCCTCTTTGGGAATGTCTGAGCCCTTGCTCCTCCTGGAAGAGGGAAAAGACCAAAGGCATCACCAGTACTTGCTTTTTTTTTTTTAAATCCCCTCATTTTAGCCTGAATGGTCCGAACCTCCAGCACTTTCCTGAGGTCGGGTCTGTCACTGTCCAATTCCACAGGTAGCTTTTCCTTCTCAGGACAGCCAGCAGCCCAGCCAGCCAGGTACCATGCATCTGTCATCCCCCACCCCTTCATCCTCCCTTTCCCAAACTCGGCTCTCCCCGAGTATTTCAGGGAGCAGGTGAGTCTGGGGCAGGTAGCAAACCCCACTCCTTACCCCTCTGTGCTTTGTGACGTGGAACTCCAACTCATGGCACCAAAGAACCAGTATCTACGGACCTCAGGTTTGGGGTGAGGGTCTCCGTGGTCACACAGATTGCTCGGTGTGGCTTCTAGGCTCTCTGGCTCTGTGGGCAGCAGAGGCCACGACCCATGTGAACTCATGAGCCCTCATGACCGCCCTGTGAGGTTATCCAGGAAGAGTCAGTAATAGACCCTCCATCGCATGACCCTGGAGCAGATCGATCACGAAGAAGCAGGAGCAGCTTCTCAAGTGGGAAGGTCATGCTCACGGATCCAGAAGTTAGAATCACCAGTTCAGCAAGAAATGGGGAAAGCATTCCCAGCCGACCCGCATGCTGGTGGTCCGTGCTGCATTTACTGCGGGCCCAGCGTCTGTCTGTCCTTGGGTTGTAAGCCAGACAGGTACCCACCAGGCACTAGTGGAGTCTGACTTCTGGTTCTGCTGCGTCTGAACTCCCTCCTCTGGACGTTGGTTGGGAACTCCCCCTTTTTTTCCTTTTGGCCGTTCCCTGCTGCATGCGGGATCTCAGTTCCCCCACCAGGGATCGAACCCAGGCCCTTGGCAGTGAAAGCGCCAAGTCCCAACCACTGCGCCACCAGGGAAGCCCGTAGCCAGTTTATTCTTACCACAGTTCTGCAGGGCAGAAGTCCACATTCAAGGTGTGGGCAGGGCCGGTCCTTCCAGAGGCTCCAGGGGAGCATAGGTTCCCGCCTTTTCCAGTTTCTAGAGGGGCCGCATCCCTGGCTCGCAGCCCCTCCTGCATCCTCACAGCCAGCAGCGCAGCATCTCCCGTCTCTCTCTGCCTCTGACCCTCCTGCCTCCCTCTTATAAGGACCCTGGGATGACGCTGGGCCCACCGGGAATCCAGGGTCATCTCCGTCTCAGGGGCCTTAATCCCACCTGCAATGTCCCTTTTGCCACCTAAGGTGACAGTCACAAGTTCCAGTGATTAGGATGTGGACATCTTTGGGGACCTTTAATTCTATGGGCTGAACCAACCCACAAACCCTTTGCTTTGTGATGTGGGTGAAAACACTGCAAACCACATTTCTGCTTTGCCAGCAGCTTCTGCCAACTGGAGGGGGGATGGAATCCGGAGGAGGGAGAGGGATTGGCCCTTCTCATTCCTTGCGTGGTTGAGGATGTCTTTGTTACCTCTGTGCATGAATAATATCCCAGCGTGGCCTAAATATCTTGCATCGCCCCTCCTTTCCCTCAGATGGCCACACGTGTTACTTTGCTCTCTTGTGGCAATGGGTGTTTGGTGAAGAATTCAGAAACCAGCCTCATTTTTCACCTTAATACATGAAATGACGTGTTCTTTATGTGTGAGGCTCACAGGATAGATCTCTGAGCACATTATGGCAATCAGACAGGAGTGCTTGAGGGCCATGCCAGGACCCGATCTTAAGGCAGACTTCTAAATTCCATGCTGATTTATTGAAACTCGGCATGCATTATTAACCCATATTTTTAAAAGTATATATATCTTTAATAGTTTATAAATCCAATGAGTAACTTATTTTTGCCTTGAAGTTTTTTTATATGTTAATTCTCTAAACACTCATTTTTATGAAAGCATCTAAAACCTTTTTGAAAACCGTAAAAAATTTTATTTTATTTATTTAGTTTTTTGGCTATGCCCCATGGTTTGTGGGATTTTTAGTTCTCCGACTGGGGATTGAACCTGGGCCCTCGGCAGTGAGAGCTCGGAGTCCTAACCACTGGACTGCCAGGGAATTCCTAAAAAAGGAATTTTTAAAGTTCTGTCTGTAAATAAAATGACAAACGATATCAGAGTTTGGGCATCCACTTAATTGCAAATGAGAGAATGTTTTCTAAAAGAAGCAGGCATATTAAATGCAGTCGGTGTTTAGCCCCCATCTAGTAAGTGAATTAAGAGTTCTTAGGTCCATCCTAAATTTATATAAGCTTTTTTTGTTGTTGTTTTATATAAGTTAAAATAGGAATTCAGGGGCTTTCCTGGTGGCGCTGTGGTTGAGAATCCCCCTGCCAATGCAGGGGACACGTGTTCCATCACTGGAGGGGGGAGATCCCACAGGCCGCGGAGCATCTAAGACCACGCGCCGCAACTACTGAGCCTGTGCTCTAGAGCCCGCACGCCACAGCTACTGAAGGCTGCACACCTAGAGCACATGCTCTGCAACAAGAGAAGCCACTGCAATGAGAAGCCCGCGCGCCAGGGGGCTCAAACAAATATATGTTTCCACGGTGACCTCGCCCCCGGGCCGACTCCTGACCCCGGAGGTCACTAGACCCTCTCCTTCCCCCGTCCCATCCTGTCCAGTCCCTGCTCCGGACAAGGGACACTCCGCGTGGAAACTTAATCAGGACTTCCCGGTCCAGGAGGAGGACAAGGAGGGGCCGCCGAGCTGCGGGAGGACGCCGGGTTCGACCGCCCGAGAACAGGTTCTGCTCGGGGCCCACGTCCCGCGCGTGCGGGTCGGTCCACAGTGTGTCACGAAGGCCTGTCACTCAATAACCAGAGGGCGGGCCTGGGAGGAATGTCCAATCAGGTGCGACGGGGCGGTGCCCGGAGAACAATCAGGCGCTCGCGGGCCGGGCCCAGAGAACTGTCCAATCAGGGGCTCCAGGGGCGGGTCTCGGGAAACCGTCCAGTCAGGGGCCCGGGCAGTAGCAGTGCCCGAAGCACTATCCAGTCAGGACGGTGGGGCGCGAAGCGTCTCCCAATCAAGAGCCAGGTGGAAGAGAGTGCCAGGAGCACCGTCCAGTCAGAGCACGCTCCCAGCCCGTGAGCGGGTAGTTCTCGGCCAGCCGTGCCGCTCCGGCGCACCTGTGCCGCGTGGGCCCAGGTGGCGGGTCCTCGTACCTCTCACCTGCGCGGGCCGCGGCAAGGACGCCTGGGAGAGCCGGGAGCCCGGCAGAGATGGTGAGTCCGCGGGACCGGGGCCCGAGACCGGGAGGGGCTGTTACGAACCGTCCGGAACCGGCTGGAAGCGGTCGCGGGGTGCGGTCCCGGCGTCCTGTCCGGCCCCCGCTTGTGGGGGCGGTGTCTCAGGACTATCTGGGTGACCTAGATGTGCACAACTGCTCTCCTCCCGGGGGTCCGGGAACATCAGCCCCTGGTCGGCTCCTCCCAGCCGACAGCCTGCGGGGGCGGGCGGGGAGCCTGGGGAGACCTGCTTGGGGGCCTTGGGCTGGGAAGGCGTCTCCCGGTAGGTCCTCCGTCCAAAATGACCCCGGCCCCAGTTCTCATTACATGGAGGGACACTATTTGTCAGCTGACTGGACGCCTGAGGGGAAAAGATGGAAATGATTCCTGCCCCCTGGGTTCTCACAAGAACCACACAAGGGAGAAAAACTAACGCAAAGATCAAGGAAAGCCCACTGTGAGGTGGGGGCAGCACCCCTCACCCCCTCCCACCCCCCAAGCCAAATGCACTGGCGACACAGCGGGGACACAGCCGGTGTCCTTTGTTCAGGGAGCACGTTAGCAGTGGGGGAGGGGTGCCCCTCGTGGTAGCGTGGTTGCACTTGACTCTGAGTCATCTGTGTCTGGGTACCAGTTCAGCACAATCCCTCCGTGGGATTTTCACCTTGAAAAGATGTATTCACTTACTGGAACCTCAGATTTTCAGCAAGTGTAAAATACATTGAATTAGTACAGCAGGAGATATAAGATAAAATACTTTCAAAGGGGTGAGTTTCAGGAAAAAAAAAATGTCATACATTACGTTTGTTAAACATTCTTTTAAAATCGCCTCCTGTCTGTAGTAAGTTTCTCAGGTCTGTCCCTTCCTGAACAGCTGCAGAGAAGTGAATACAGTACCACATAGTGTGGTAGGTGAAATTTCACCAAAAATACCAGTTACTTAACTTGTGACAGTAGATGATACTGTTGTTTTTTATTATCTGCAATACACTTTGCTTAAATCTGCAGTAAATTAGTTATTGCCCGTGGAAGAGGTGGAAATACACGGATGTTACTTAGATACCAGTTTGTCCTGTCCCATGTGTGGAAGTGTCTATCATTTCTGCTTGGCTCCCCGTGGGTACCCTGTGGTGAATCAGGTCTCCCCCTCCCCATAGCCACGGGCCTGCTTCGGGCTCTGTTCCTTTCTGTAGATTTAGTTGTCCATTCCTTTGCTAATTCCGTCCTGTCAGGAGTTGCTGCTGCTTTAAAACCCTTGCAGTGTGATAGACGGATTCCTGCCTGGTACTTCAGAATATTTTGGCTGTTTGGGGGCATTTGTGTGTAAAGTTAGTATTTGTCAAAGCCTAAAAAACATCTGGTTTGGCAATTTTATGGAATTTTATAAAGACTCTGTCTTGGGAGGGTTGATATCTTGGTAACACTGATTTCTTTTTAAGAACATGTGCCATCTTGTCATTTATTTCATTTTGCTTTGTTATTATCCTTCATGTTTTAAAATTTTTGTTAGGTTCTCTTTATAGCCTTCATTAAACTGATTTTGTACTACTTCAATTTGGCTTTTACCATGGTATGTGTTATCTTTTTTTTTTTGAGTAATAATTTTTATTGGAGTATAGTTGATTAACAATGTGTTAGTTTCTGCTGTATGTGTTATCTTTTTTACCTTTTTTAAAATTAATTTTTATTGGAGTATAGTTGCTTTACGATGTTATGTTAGTTTCTACTGTACAGCAGAGTGAATCAGCTATACATATACATATATCCCCTCTTTTTTGAATTTCCTTCCCATTTAGGTCACAACGGAGCACTGAGTAGGGTTCCCTGTGCTGTACAGTAGGTTCTCATTAGTTATCTTTATTTGTTTATTTTTTGCGGTACGCGGCCCTCTCACTGTTGTGGCCTCTCCCGTTGCGGAGCACAGGCTCCGGACACGCAGGCTCAGCGGCCATGGCTCATGGGCCCAGCCGCTCCACGGCATGTGGGATCGTCCCGGACCGGGGCACGAACCCGTGTCCCCTGC